CATTTGTATAAAGATATCTCTCAGATATCTTTGAGATATCTGTAACTTCATAAGGATATCCTTGTTACGTCAGTGCTATGTGGGGTATTCCCAGTGAGAAATGATTCGTCGATCGACGTCGAAACGACGTCGAATCGACCTCGACACCGTCGAATTGGCGTCGATTCGACATCATTTCGACGTCGAACGACGAATCATTTCTCACTGGGTAGTCCGTTCTGATATTTAAGATCATCTTAAGTACTATACTCTTACCCATATAGCACGTAATATTACGTAATGTATCAGTAATATTATAATATTGCAGTAATATTACATATTGCAATGTAATATTACAGTAATATTCAAGGTTGGGAAGTAACTCGTTACTTGTAACGAAGTTACAGTCACACCCTAGAGAAAAAGTATACACAGAATGAGGAATAGGATATACATATTGAACATACGGATATAGAAACTTTATATACGCATACAGAAATTGTGTATACCTTCTGTATACTTTTTCTCTAGGGCAGTTACTTCTTTTTGGTAACTCTAACTTAACTTCATTACTTTCTCTACATCTGTAACTGTAACTTAACTCAGTTACATTTTATCGATAACTAGTAACTAATTTAACAGTTAGTTTATATATTTTTTCAACCTCCACAGATCGCATTAGGCCTTGCATTTGCGCATTTGTCGCCGCTTTACAATTCAGATGCAGATTCGATTTTTTTATTTCTATTGGAATAACTGCACAAAGTAACGATTCGTTACTTTTCGAGTAACTGTAACTGTAACGCGTTACTTTTCGGAATTAGTAACTTGTAACTGTAACTGGTTACATTGTTAGCGAAAAGACTGTAACTGTAACTAGTTACTTTTATAAAGTAACTTTCCCAACCCTGGTAATATTACTGATATACAAGGTTGGGAACGTTACCTTAAAAAACTAACGCGTTACCGTTACCGTTACTTTTTGTAAAAAGTAACTCGTTACCGTTACTCGTTACTAATTTTAAAAAGTAACGCGTTACCGTTACCGTTACTTAGAAAGTAATGATTCGTTACCTTTTTCGTTACTTTGTTGAAATACTAAAGTAAGATGTTAATTATAAAATTACATTATTATTATTTAATAATCAATATTAAAACTTAAAACTTTAAACTAGTTTCTATATAGCAAGTCATAGAGCATACAGGAGCTCGATTCTTGAATTTGTACGAAGGAGAAACATATGCGAAAATTCTGCTCTTACAGAAAATTTGTAAATTGATTGGATATACGCGTGGCTTTTGACCAATCGACTTTCAACTTTTCTGTCAGAGCAGAATTTTCGTATACGTTTCTTCTTTGAATGAATTCAATAATCGGGCCCCAGAATCAAGACGTCGATAAATGTTTACAGCGCATTCTCATGTGACATTGACTTCCAGCACCCAATATCGGAATATTTTTGTCCAATCAAGAATAGTGAGCGCGACCAGCTCACGATCTATTGAACAGATATAAAAGATAATAGGGAACTAAGGTAACGATAAAAGTAACGGCTGAATTCGTTACCGTTACTGTAAAAATGCAACGACGTTACCGTTACCGTTACAGACATAAAAAAGTAACGATCGTTACCGAAAAAAAGTAACGAAAATGGTAACGGCGTTACAAGTAACGCCTTACTTCCCAACCCTGCTGATATATTATATAGAAATATTACACAGTTATATAACAGTAATGTTGCTGCAATATATCAGATCAAAAGTAGCGCAAGGTGATGTCAAATGACTTTTTAATTACGCCTCATTACGTTTTATTACGTCATTAAGATGCCATGAAGACGTCATTTAATGTCACGGTGCTATTTGGCACTTTCCAATGTATATCGCACTGAAGTATAAATAAAATATTATAAGGGTAATTTGTAGTATGACGATAAGTCATCTTTGAAAATGACTGCAAAAACGCACTATTAAACAATTATTGAAGATATTATTATTTATATCTTAATATTATCTTAATAGCCTGTAACCATCTTTTCCGTAGGGCCATCATACCCGGGTTTACCCTAATCTAATTCATTGCAATATTACAATAATATTACGTGATACGTCACAGTAAAATTATTGTGATTATCACAGTAATATTACTACGATTACGAGAGCGAACAAGAGAGGACGAAATAGCACGAAACAGAGTTTGTCCTTTTCTACGTGAACCTCTACCCCCCACTACCGGCCCCTTTGATCTCTTTGCGGTCTCGATCACGTGGTGTTCCGCCACGTGTGTGTATACACGTACTCATCAAAGATTATCTCGGTAATATTTCATTGGGTGGACATTTTAATATTACTGTGATATAGGGTAAAGGCAGGCATTATGGCCAGGCGGGTAATATGGCCACAACGCCTGTATTAAATATTTTAAACATTGATAAACAATAATGTATAAAAACCAATTATTGTAGCTATTCTTGAAGTTTGGTAACAAAAATCTCTCTATTTTGTTGTTATTTGTGGTTTGGTGCTTTATTGTTCTCCATAACCATCAAAATATACACGTCAAAGTGAGACATGGCACTTCCAACTAAGTAAGATTTTCAAATTAAAACAAAATAATTTTGGCTTTTCTCATTACACATTTCAAAACCTAAACCTTGGCTATATTTTTATAATAAATTTATCGTGCTTTGCCCATTATTTTGATAATTATAATGCACATTATTAAATGTATGCTCGGCGGCTAATATGGCCAGCGACAAAGGTAGCTACTATGGTCAGCGAGTAC